AAAAAACATTTACAATATCAATGCACTACATAAATACTGAGTGTCCCTGTGGACCTCTCTTAAAGTAGTATGGCTATGCTTTCTTTCCCATTACACTATATTCAAATATTACTCATGATTTTTTTAAAATAAAAGACTGGATACAAGTCTGGAAATATTTGTATCTATAAGGTTCCCACACCACACACATTTTTAAAATCATCTGGATCAGTGGTTCTCAACCTTTCAGTTGTTATGACCCTTTAAGACAGTTCCTCATGTTGTGGTGACACCCAACCATAAAATTACTTCATTGCTATTTTATAACTGTAATTTTTCTACTGTTATTAATTGTAATGTAAATATCTGATATAAAGGATGCCTGATATTTGACCCACAAATGGGTCACAACTCCCAGGTTGATAACCACTGATCTAAATCCATATCACAGCCTATAAAATATTCATATCTATACTAGTTACCATGCTATACACATTTTTAAAATCACTATAGACTCATGCTTTAGTACACAAGGCATAATATTTGATGACTTGGATATTTTGTCACTTTTCCTTTCATTTGTCTCAGTATCTTTATCATTATGTTTACTGCGTGTAACATAAAATACTATGCCTTAGTCACAAGTTCAAACTAATCTTTCATGAGGACAGTGTGTATAATGTTTATCAGTTTAGAAAATGGATTCATGCTAATTTCATTAGCAATCACTAGAGGGAATGGGGGATGGCAAAAGGTAAGAAAAAAGAACATGAATTCATAAATGGACAATGGACGCTGTATCTGTGTAATGAAATAGAATACAAAATGCCATTAAAATCTACTAGTGTGTGTGAATCAAAATTTGTCCAAACATAAAGAAAAATGAAATCACGTTTACAGCAAAATGGAGGAAACTGTAAGTTATTCTTTCAAGTAAAAGAAGCCAGAATCTTAAAAACAATACCTCATTTTTTCTGTTTCTAGTTTCTCAGTTTCCTTATCTATATAACTTCATTGTCACTTCTATAGACCTGGATGTGCCCCAACACAGAGCCATACCTAACTCTTGGCCGACTTCACGATTTAATGATGATTGCATTTTGCCAGAAAACTCATCTCCCCGGTCAACCAAAGCTTCCTTCAATACTTCATATCCATGCAGCACCACCGTGGGCTTCATGCCCAGATACACAGTGAACACGGGGCCATACTCTTCTGCTAGCTGGAAACAGAGCAGGGCTGATCATGACAGAAATACTTTCATTCATAATGAAGAGACATTTTAATATTTGTGCACTAATTATCTTTAGACCCAGTAATTTAATAAGAAACTTCACTTAAACAGCCACAGTGATTATGTTCTAACATTGCTGTTACTACTATTCTATGCAACATATTTGTCCAAATTTCATTTTTACCTTTCCCTGTCAAACATACATCTATATCACATTTCTTTTCCTGCCTGATCTTGCAATACATGATATGTTTTTTTTTCCTGAGTACAGGGTATCATTCTCTGTTACCCCACCCATAAATTAATAATCATCTTCTGTCGTCCATTTTCCATGTCATCATTTATGGTGAGGTCTCTGAATTTTAACAGTATTTAGAATACAGAAGGAAGGGCATTCCTGATCTCCAGACTGTACCTTCTATAAGGCTTTATACATTCTAATTGTCCTTAAATTCAGCTGCATGCACAGAGCATGGTATCTGATGCCAAGCAACTATTCATCACTGTTGAATGCAAGCAAAGTCAAGTAACCTGTGAGGATAATTACATGTTAAAAAAACAAAAATTAAAGCTCAGAAAGATTTTAAAACTTCCCCCAAGTCATGATGTAATTCACTGTATCCAGCCCAAGAACAAGGAGCTATATAGGGGCAGTAAGTGCTCTAGTGACTGGCTGTCTCAGAGAAAAGATATATTTCTGGTCATTCCTTTAGGCTTCAGTGAATGACTGCCACTTGAATCAATGATACAGCAGTCATTGACTCATTATCCAGAAAATGTGATAATAACTTAAAACTCCTAAATCCTTAGTTATGTCCTTGGCTTCAAATCAATTTTTACTCTAGGAAAATGTAGACTTGAGAACTTATAAATCAAGAGATTTATATACGTGAACA